AAGTAAAAATATCTTTTTTTTTTGCAGGATATTGATGGGACGGATTCAATCGAGAATGAGGTCCAGTAAAAATAATAGGTTGAAGCACCTGTACTGTACATTAACTTAACACGCGGTGAGTTCCGAATATTTTTTTTGGTATGACTTTGCTTGAACGCTTCCTGCTCAGATCATAATTGAATGTTGTTATTGATCAGTCTCCTGGCCAGAGATATTCGTTTTGTTTATATCTGTAAAATTCCTACAACACTTATGCTAGGCTACGACTCTGGCGATAATTTTTGGGTGCCTCTATTTCCAGAAATTTTTTACGATCCTGAAATCCAAATTCAGACTGATATAGTATTGAATGTATAAAGCTGCTACTTATTGAATTGACACTTGCCCTCGGAGTAGTCCCGAATGCCTCCATCTCTTTTGGGAAAGGAAAACAGAGGAGGTTTTGGCTTTTGTCTTTTTTTAGTTAAAGCAGAATTGCATGTGGTTATTCATAGAGTGTTTATCAGTTGACTGTGAAGTACATTTGTTTAAAGCGAATGAAAACAATCTTGCGAACCTCCAATTTTTATCGATTTTTAGTCGCTGATTTATTCATAGCAATGAACCATAAAAGTGCATAGTAATCTTTGCACTGATTTACAAAAATAGCTGCTCAGCGAACGAAATTTTTTGCACCCAATTTTGAGTTGAACTTGTTTTTATTCGACAAAACTGTCCTCGTGCCCGACCGCGAGCAGTTTTTTTTTTAGTTTTTTACATAAATGAATTTTTCGGACTATAAATTCAGAAGCAGTAAAGAGTTTAGCCAGCGTGTGGTTGCTGTTGGAATTTGCCATTGCTTTTCGCTAGAAAAAAAGCTAGCCAAGAATTCGTCACAAAAGAAAAGAAAGGTGTATCTTGCCTTGAAACGCGGATGCAGGGTAGATGTGCTGTCAAGCTAAACCTGGCGCATAAGGGTCGGTGGTGTAGTGGTAATACATTGTGTTCGAACGTTAAGAGGAATGGTTCGACTCCCTCCCGATCCAGAATAATTTTCGAGAAAGGGTTCTGTTCACGAAACAGCTGGAGTTGTTTTTCGAGTGCATTCGCCTTTCACGGAGGGTGAATACGGAAGGGCAATTTTTGCACAGGCCATTGGAGCTGCAAATGAATTAATCGTATTTTGGCCCCGAAAAAGTTTTAACGACATTAGCATGCAAGTAAGTTATTGTATATGAACAGGAACATTATTTATCTTTTTTTTACGGATATTGTGTATTTGTGAATCAAACCAGTGTATGAATTTTTATGCGAAATTTGTATGTTATATGTATTTTGCAGGCAGTGTAAACGATAAAAAAAAGCACTTCCATACATCG